GATGGGAGATAAGCAGTGGTAAAAGACAGGAAAGCCCATGCACTCAGTCCACTGGGAAAGAAGGAAAAAATGAGAATAAAGCTCTTTGTAGTCACACAATCTTTTCTCAATTGCTATATGGGATTCTGTGATGATTAAACATTTGATCATCTAACAGAGCGGGACAGAATTCTCTTAGAAAAGATCATATATTTACTAGCACTGGTAATCTGTATCACATACAACACATTGCTGAATGAAAATATCTTCTCATGAAAGGGTAGTTGCAGCTCAGCTCTGCTGGGAAAAGTGACCTCATTGTGTCAAATGTGATTATTTGAATCACTGGGATTCATGCTGAGGTCCTTACTTAATTGATACTCAAACAGACATAACCTTGGAGCTGACAGGAGTTTTTGCCAGGTGAGGAGTGCAACCCAAATTTGGGGCAGTGGCATTTGTAGACACCAAACACTTTTGCTGACCGAGGATTTCAATGGAGGGAACTGTTGCCTCCTATGGCGACAGTAGAAAGCACTGTTAGTTCTTTGTACAGGTTTGTTTTGGGCCACGAGTTCCACTCCCACAATATCAGATGAAGCAATGTTATTCCAGCTAGATAAACAGTGGCTGTTCATTAATGTTTGGTGGGGAACAATCAGTTCTTGTGGAACTACTGCTAAAACTGGTTCCATGTTAAATACCTGCATGACCCAGGAAAGGTGAGGAGAGTCTTCCTGTTTCAGAAGAGGCTATAGCTGGAAGAATTCTCCAACCTTCTCTACTCAGACAGCCAGGAAGTAAAACATGTAACTCCTTTATTTTTGGGAAAAGCTTTGCATACTAGATAAGCAGAGTAAAACTCAACCTTGATGAACAAGCAATTGAACCTGTTATTTCATATGACAAGCTACACCAGTTTGGAAGAAACCATGCTGCAGATGCACACTGACAGATCTACAAATCTGGCCTTTTATTTGGAACCTGCTTTAGGGTCATTGTCTAGAGCAGCCTCTCTGAGCTGTACGGTCCTTCAACTTTCTAATGTGTGTGGCCTCATAAGTAAATATAGACAGGAATAATGTGTCCAGCACAAATGCATACTCCAGAAATAAAATACTGGTATAATCTTACTCTTTTTTGTCTTACATGAACATATTACACCATGATTGCCTTGTTCCATGGGTACTCAATGCACAATTCCATGCAGGGGAACTGCTACTGATGAACGAACCCACCAGTTTAGAATGTAGTTACTGGATTCTTAACCTTCCTGAAAAGGTCTTGCTTGTCTTCTGTGCTTTCAAACCCTAAGCATCACTTATTAGTGGTTATTCTTTGAAGAGTGTTGCATTTTAGAAATTTAGAACGTCTCTTTTCTGTGAGTGCCACGTCATTGTTGCAAGTGCAAAAGCATAGCTGGTTTAGGTATTATCTCAATTTTGCACACTATAAGCAAATGGCACTTGCATGCCCCATGGCCAAAGCATAAGGACAGGATGAATACTTCAGCCATCTGAAGCAGAATAAGGGAATAGAGGCAGAGTCCTGGACTCTCGCAATAGAGCTAAAAGTGCTCAATACTTTGTAAAGTCATTGAAAACCTAAAGGCCAGGCTAACACCATCTGTGTTAGTGACCAACACTCCAGTGACCAACCATCTACCTGGAGTTCAAGAAAGCCAAATGCATCAGCTTCCATAAAGCCTTTCAATGCATTGCATTTAAGGGGTCAGAGCCTAAAAACTAAGGCCAGTAATTAAGAGGTGTATAAACACATGAATGACTAAATCTGCTGATTTCTAGGACACGAGAGAGCTGGTGGTTTTGTTCCTAGGACTTTGAAAACATGGAGTAACACTCACTATGAAATTGTAGGAATTATTAGAGTGAGAAGGGAATTTGTTGAGGTTTGTTGCAAACAGGTAAAGCTAGTTACACTCATATCACAGAGACCAAAAGGCCTACATAAGACTTTTTTTTAGCCTCTAAGTCTACATAAGTACATAAATAAATGTAAATAAACATGAGCAAACTATAATCGGGCATTTAAAAATATTTTAAATAACATTTATTTAGTTGCTTGACTAAGGATTTAGGGAACCTCCAGGTTTAGTCTGTGTGTTTTATGTATTTCTTAACACTGTGTATGCTTGGCAGCACCCACAATTTTATAAAAATGCAGGCAATAATTCATGGTGATCAAGCTGTATTTATCCCCCATGAGCAAGTGTTGCTTCTTTTTTTCCCCTGGCTAAAATCAATGTGGAGCTCTAAGACTTCTAAAAGGTGCTACCAACTTTCAACTGGAAAAACGGCCTTGCTTTCAGGGAGAGCAACAAGTTCAGTGATCAGCAGACAAATATAAAATTTCTAATGCGACTATCTCAGGGCTAACTGACTCTAGGTTGTAAGTAATGTCTAGGTTCACAAAGAAAGTTAAGCAGAGCAGAAAGAGGCCAATTACCTTTTCATAACTTGATGGGTCAGCCCAGGGCATTTTCTGTGCACACACCAAGTTTCACCCTCCCCTCTCACCCCTTTCCATCCCAGAAGGAGTGCAAAGAGCACTCTGCAGAAATGTTGCACAAGTCTGAGACTGCCAGTTGTTGCCTGTCTACAGGCAGAAATGCCTCAGGAAGCTCTGAAATCTTTACACAGAACCAAACTGTACATGTTCTACAAAAGGAGGGTCTGGTCTATGCATAGCAAACTGTTACTTTCAGGCTTTTTCCACATTACTGGCTGAAGCTCAGAGGGCATGAGTCATCTCACTGACCTTACACGTTTTTGTCTGTTTTAACATCTCGGTGCCCACATCTAGCTTTCATGTAGGCTCTAGTTCTCCATTTAGTATGTGTAGAGCCTTTATAGTAGATGGACATAAATCAGAATGTACCATGTGTGACTCAGCTGTGACTCTGTTCAGGTGAGATGAACTGTTCCTCAAAAATACTCACTTCCCTTTTCCTGACTTTAAAGGGAGCCCACACAAGATGTCAACCTTGAATTCCTGCAGATATAGTGCCATGGTCCAGTTGCTGCATCTCCCCACTACATAAACATGACCTTGAGCAGGCTTGGACTAAAGGGTGACCAGATTTGGACTTTCCCTCTTCAGAGAACTCTGGAGGTTTGCTTAAGTCCATGTCTTATAGTATGCTTCTGGGTAAGCAACATGGACACCAAGTAACTAGAAAACTGAACCAAACCCTTTGCTAATTGATTGTCTGAATGCATTTGCAAGGTCTGCGGGAAGAGATTCTTTTATTTTTGCCATGAAAGTGACTGCAGGTGAAAGCAAATGATATGAGCAGGGAGAAAATATCCTTTGGAGGGCAAATGTTATGTACAAGGACTATGCAACAAAAGTATTTCAGAGGTGCTGAAATGCTCTGTAATCTCCATGGGGCAGAGCCTCAGGTAACTGTAAGGACATTCAAGAAAAGGTGACTCACTTCAGTGAGGAAGGATGAGTGCTGGTCACCCGTATAGTGCTGAAGCAGAACTCAAAGCTGAATGTATCACTGGCTGTGCCATGGCTCTCGTGAGTGGCCTTAAGCAAGTCAGACCTCTGTGTCCCTGTCCCTTTGCTCTTAAAAGGAAGATGACCTCTCCTTTGGGAAGCACTGCCAAGTCTCTTGATTCTGTATGACACTGGCTGACTGAATTAGATGTAACAAATTGAATATTATCACCACATGGTCTGAAGTCCTGTCACTAAGCTTCTTCGTTATGAAAAAGTGGAACCATCAGAGCAAACAAAGGGATTACACTCAGGTCTTTGGCCAAAACTCAGAGACAGATCCTGAATTGCATGTCTCTGTAAATTCACAAGTACTTTTACTAGTACTTTGGAAGTAAAGGGAATAGAAACAGTTGACAGTCTCCTGCTGGTCTAGATTTGTTCTAGAATACATACAAGAGAACTAGGTTTGCACCATGGAAATCTTTATCTTCACCATTTCCAAGGACTCCCAGTGGTTTAAAATGAGCCTGCAAATCAAAAAATCAGCAAAAGAAAACACTTTTCTCTGAATGTAATTACAGAACAAACTGATAATTGTTTCTTTGCTGTTTTTTTTAGGTGTCCTTACTGTATTCATTATCTTTCACTGGCAGAGAGATGCAACAAAGTACCAGGTCTATCTTTCTCACAGCACTTCTGGTACAAACTCCTAGCTGGGACATACCTTGGGAGGGAGGTTATTTTCCCCCATTTCTCTATACAGAAGCGCCGTAGTCCATTGCTCCCTCGGAGAGCGGCAAAGCCCTCGTATGGCACACTCGATGTTCCTGTGACAAACTGCAACAACCGGAGTCTCTGCTCGTTGTTAAATCTCTCCACTGCTGCCCAGAACCACCGTATTACTATGTGTCCATCATGGTAACCTAAACCAAGAAGTAAAAGAAATTAAAACCACCCCCTCTAACTGCAAAGTGCAACACTGAAATATGTTCCCACTAGCATGGGGCAGTAGATCTCCAACTGAAAACATCCTGACCTAATCATGTATATAGTTCTTCATGAGCAGTAGGTTCCAGCTTCCATTTGGTTCTGGCTGTGGATACTATAATACTACTAACTCATTTCAAATGCTGGAACTCAAATATACATTTGAGGTGCACTGGCCTTTCACAAATTCCTTGGCAAGAACTGGGGCTACCTGCAATGAGATATTAAAGACAAATTGCAACATGCCACACAGTGTGAGTCTTAATGACAACAATTTCTGGTTCCTAAATAAATTCTCTTTTGGATTGCAATAGTGTTCGACAGATGGAGAGGAGTTTGCTGCAGCAAGCACTTCCCTGGCAAACTTCCCACTTGAGGGACTATGTGCCTTGGTTTGTGTTAGTGAAAGCCAACATAAACCCAGGCTGAATCTGTTTCAACAGCTAAACAGAAAAAAAGTAGGAGGAGAATAACTTTGGGGACCAGCTGCGCTTGTGGTAAGCTGCATATTTCAAGGTAACACAAAGGCTGGGCAGTGAGCAGCAAAGACTGAAACCTTGTATTTTAGGGGAGGATATGTGAACCTGAGAGACTTTCCATTTGTGGTACACAAGTGGTGGATTTCACATTTATCCAGCATCCAAGACAGCCTGGATAAATCATACACGGTGTTTAAAGCAAAACCAGGCCAAACAGTAGAGGAGGGAAAAATATCCAACTTGACATAGTTGAGGCTGAGGGGATGGTTAAACAAGATCTGTGTGTTGTTGAAGTATAATTGAGAACTCTGAAATTCAGCTCTTGATTTCACCTCCAATGAGGTCAAGAGGACTTGTGAAACTACTTTCAACAAGGCCAGGAGTTCATTCAGAGATCCTTAACAGTCAAAACTCCTGCTAATGCTGTAGGAAGTGAATGGATAAAATCTGGATAGAAGTAGCAGAAGCAATTTCACTACTATTACAGCTGTTGATACAAACATGAAAACTTTCTTATTTTATTTCACTAGTTATTCTTCACAATAACTTCCTGAACAAAATAGGGTATTTCCTTTAGGAAAGACAGAGGAAGATGGACCAAGTCTTTCATGTTTTAGGCTGAAATAGTCAAGACATTAATAAAAATGAACAGGCAGTTTACCTCCACGATACTCTGTGTTGTTACGCCAGTCATTGAGATCTATTTCTGCAGTGCCAGCAATAACCAGCTCCAGTTCTCTGGCATCAAAAACAGAGACAAGCCTGGAGTCTACAACCTGGAACAAAACCCACTTGTAAGCACAGTTTCAGACTGGAAATAAAACAGATGCAAACTCTCGTAAACCTATGGCTCTGATGGCCAGCTCTTTATCCTGAAGAAGTCTGCAAGCTGACAGCCAACTTCCACCCCTCTGCTGATAAATCTGTGCTCTTCTTTAGGGAGTCTGTTGATGTTTTGAGCTGCAAACAACCCATGACACATGAGTTTTGACCAGAATAAAACAATATAAGTGACAGGACATAATCTGTGCAGAACATTATTCCTTGTTATATTTATTCTGACAAGTGATTTTGATAAACTAAGTTTGGATTTGTAATATGGACAATTTATTTTATATTTGTTTTGCATTGGAATTTGATTACTATTGTGTAGGAGTGCCCTCAGGCCTTCATCCATTGAAGATGCAGCTGAGGCTCACTTCCTTCATTGTATGAAACCAAAAGCTTTCATAGCCTGCAATATTCACAGGCAGAAAAAGTTGGCAAACTGTATACACAATTTTGTAAACTGCATGGAATCACTTAGCCAACTCCTTTCTACAGAAAAGGGCTGACCAAGTCTATTCAGCTACAAAGTCACCCTCACTGACTTCCAGTAAAAGTCTGTGCATGACTGCTTAGAGCCATTACTTTTACTATTATACTGTGTGTCCATTATCTGCTGTTTCATTTTCCAGGGTTTATTCCAGTTTATTTCCCTCTGTGAGACAACCCTCAACTTCTACTTATATTATAGAGTTGCCAGGGCAAGACACATGTTTGCATATGGTTAGTGAGGGGCAAGGATCAGTGGGTAGGTCAGCAAAGCCACAGTTTTTCATCCAGTCCTTGTAGCAGCTCTGCCAGAAGGATGTTCTCAGATCCAGGTCTTCAGCAAAGATAACAAAATCCAGGGACAACAATGGAGCAGCATCCATGAATACCAAGATAATAGCTCAGACAGCACCCAAGGATCAACTTTATTGGTAGGAATTCCTCAAGATACAGTGTGTACCTACTGGTGGGTACATATCAGCTTCTCACCAAAGTGTAGAACTCATCACAATCTTCTTTTGTATCACAACAGTGTGGAACAAAATGTGCAAATGCCTACTTTTCTTACTGTGTGAATGGAAAGCAGTATCCTTCTTAACTCTTGATCATAATGCTTTATCATATTCAGAATACACATTTCTTTCCTTTCTCCCTTAATGCTAAACATGCCATATCCAAGGTCTCTGTCTCTACAAATCCAGGAACACCAATTGCTTGTTGTTTGTGTCTGTTTAGCTATTTCCTAGTGTAAACACGGTTGAACCATGGGGGTAATCCCATTCAGATGAGGAATGGAAGACTGGGGGAGCGTTATTTTGTTACTTACTTCGTAGAAGCCACGGACCAGAGCCTCTGTTTGCTGAACCACTCCTCGTTCCACTCGCCACTTAACCATTCTCTCAATGTACTCTTTCTTGTTCTTTTCTGTCACTGCTGTATTTGCCCCTCCAGATTTCAACTCTCTCTCTGTCACCTACAGAACAGAGAGAAACAGTGGTGTAGCAATGCATGGATCACATTGTGTTTCAAATTTAAGACTACCTAAGCAATGTTACAGGAAACAACAGGATGGAGAGGCAATCACAGGATTGGAATAGGCAGATTGTTCCATCAACCAGAAGGGATATCTATTTGTCTCTTAGGCAGCAAGGGTTACCCTTCCCCAAGTGCTAGTAAAAGTGTTTATTCAGAAATGCCAATAGTCAAAGAAATTATCACAAACTGAATACTCCAAATACACTACTTAAACGAGACCTGTACAGCACCCTGCACAGATGACAAATAGCCACTCTGGTATTCAGAGTTTTGTATCACCCATCCAAACCTGAGATGTGTTTGTAATGTAAATAACTTTAAAAACCTCCCCAAAACTAACAACAAAAAAGCAACAAAGAGCTACAGCATTTCATTGCATTTTAATGGTTAATTTAGTTGGCTCAGGTTACTAAGGCTTGAGATTGAGAAGGGATAGAATCATAGAATCAACAAGGTTGGAAGACACCTTCAAGATCATCAAGTACAGCTGTCTAGCTAGCACTGCTACTGCAATTCCTAAACCCTATCACCCAGCATCAGTCCAGACGCCTCTTGGACACCTCCAGGGATGGTGATTCTACCACCTCCCTGGGCAACTTATTCCAATGATTGACCACACTAAAAGTGAAAAAATCTTTTCTAACATCCAATCTGAATCTCCCGTCTCAGCTTAAAGCCATTTCCTCTAGTCCACGCACTGCAGGCCTGGCAGAAGAGACCATTCCCCACCACACTACAATCTCCTTTCATGTAGTTGTAGAGAGCAATGAGGTCACCCCTGAGCCTCCACTTCTTGAGACTGAACAAACTCAACTCCCTCAGCTGTTCTTCATAAGACATATTTTCTAGACCCTTCATGAGCCTTGTTGCCCTTTGCTGGACTTGCTCCATCACCTCAGAGTCCATTTTAAAGAGGGGCCCAAAACTGAACACAGTACTCGAGGTGTGGCCTCACCAGTTCTGACTACAGAGGGACTTCCATTATTCTTGATGCAGGATACAATGCAGTTTAAGGAATCAGTCTAGATTCTACCCAGCAAGCATATACTCCTTCTCCCACGTGACAGAAAATAATATTTATCTTGCAATTATTTTAACACTTGATCTAGTGGATTTAAAAGGAAAAATGTTTTGTTCTCTTCAGTTTTCTGCTGCCACAATACCTAGCACAGACAGTACATAAGCTACATGAAAACATATTCATTATTATTTATATTATTATATATTAATTAGTCCAATAGGCAGCACACAGCATATACAGTATTTAGGTTACTTTTCTTGAGAGACCTGTTGTAACATTGTGAATTATGAAAACAATGAATGAGTCATCTAATCTGTAGGTTTGTTGAGAAACAGCAAGAACCAGTAAGGTTGGATGGAATGAGTTAGGAGTTCTTAGCTGGTTCAGGTTAAATCCCCAAACATAAATCACTGCATCACCATTATACAAGCAATGCTGCACTGCCCAGAGGGTAAGACTCTGGTCCAGCAGCCATGCTGTATTCATCAAGGTTGTGTGGCATTAAGTTACATCTGCCAAACTAAAGACTAAATGTTGTGTAGCTTTTAAGCACAACTGCCAACTCCAGAAATTCTAAGACTCTTGCAAGATTTCCCACAAACATCTAGACAAGATGGTGATTTCTTCAAATTCTCATTATCCATATTAATTCAAATACAAGTGGTTATCTATATATCAGCAATTGATAACAATGTGTCCCTGTTTTTTCTTTCCTGTTCATAGAGGTATTAAGCACAGATGTGAGCTACAATTCGGAATCAGGTTTCAGAGTAGCAAGGAGACATTTCAACCAATGTAGCTCATTCCTTTTACCTGGCTGGAGCAAATGCCAGGGCTCAGACAGGCTGTATCCACATATAGAGCTCAGTGACAGGCCTGGAACAACACTTTCCATTGGGTAAAAGCATGAGAAAGTACTCTGGGTCATAAGCAACTGACACCTCTCTCTGTCACATAAGTGAAATTATCAAATTGGCATTCAGTCCCCACCAGTAAAAATGTGTAATGCTCAATTTGACCTCGTATCTTTGCTATTACAGTAGCGCTCCAGGTTCCAGTATGCAGGAAGGCTAGAACTCATCAGCAGTCAATTCTAATTAAGAAGGTACCAAGAAGGATGATTTGAACTGAAAGGTTTAAAAGCTTAATACACATCAGAGATGACACAAGAAATAAAAGATGAAAGGAGCAGTGACTAGTCCATAATAAAGTCATGGGGAAGCAGAACAACAGGGCTGTAACCCATCTACCATACAGCTTCTCAAAGAGTCACTATTTCTTGTTTCTCTTACCTACCCCTTGATATTCAGCTTCAGAAATATTAGCTGAGTTCCCACTGTGATCTACACTTGCACATGTATCCAGCAAAGTAATGCTCAGGTGGCATTTAAGTGGTCAGATACTCTTGGCATGCAAGAATTTCCAACTGGGATCCATCTGTGAGCATAAAATGTGACTGATCTTTTTTCATTATGTTGCTGTCAGCACTTAGAAAATTTCAGAAGGGGGAAAAAAACCTCACTTTCACTTAGGACTCTTGGATTCTGACAGTTGCAATTTACAGTGAGAACCATTTTTTCCCCCCAATCATTAGTTCTACCAAAGCTAGTGTCTAGTACACATGAAATAAAGTACTAGACAACACTTGCACCAGCATTGAAATCTGGCTTTTGGTGTTCTTTTGCTTTCATACCACAGTATCTACAACAGATTGTGATTTTTCTTTCTATTCTCTTTGGAGCCATCTCTTATATTCTACAACAGACTCCTATGTAATTGTCTAGGTCTTTTCTTTGGTAAGAGTATAATAAGTAATGTTATACTTGTGCCAAATGTTACCTTCAGGTGCATCAGGGCAACTCAGGCTGAGATTCTTATTCAACATTGTAGTCTTCCAATGTAAATACGAACTTGTCTCATCTGCCTTTGTGAATATGTCTGCATTTTTCTGTCTGTCTTTGAGTATTAGCCTTATATAGCAATACCTTCCAGGGAAACCACTGTACTGTCAATTCAAAGTCATGCAAGCTCTCAGTGCTAAGTCCATGAAAACACTGCATTTGAGTCTGTGGAAAACCAGTGTTACTGTTCCTACAGAGGCTTCCTACTTCAATTCTTCTGCCCCATCCTTTTCACTTCATCTACACTTAACTCTGCTCATCCTTCCTCACCTTGTACTATATGCAGACTAAATTCAGTTTTGAATATACCTCCTGAAGCCTTGCTTGCTTTCTGTTACTTGCAAGCTTATAGCTAAGCAGCCCTTTAACTCGCAGGGCCAGAATTCCTCCTCTCAGAAACTAGTCTAACTCTCCCTCAGCTTGCAGAACTACCCTAGCTTTGTGCAAACTCCTCCTGGCAACTTTATTTTCAAGTGCTGAGCCATTCTCTATGTGTTCCACTTGATCTCTCTGCTCCCTTTGACACTGTGTGTCTGCTACTTACACAAGTTAACTCCCTCCCTTGAGCTTCTGCAGTGCTTGGTGAGCTTAGTTCTTCAGTCTCTCTAGTTTTCAGTATCTCCAGAGAGATCCTTAATCTTGGTCTGAATATTGCTTTGGGTCCCTTCAAGGTCTTCCAGAGACAGTTATAATCTAGCACAGGTTGCAACAGCAAAGAGCACCAGGGCTTCAGTGCAAGCCAAATGATTCCACAGGAGACACTTATTCTGGTTGCCAGACTGAATTTAAGCCAGTGTTGCACCCTATGTAAGGCTGTAGTCACCTAGATCATCCAGATTACAGAGAATTGTCGAGCTGAGCTTAGAAACCATAATAAATGGATGTACATACCAAGGTGTTAAGTAGGTGCAAGGCAAGTAAGAGATACCGAATCTAACATAGAGATATCAGACAAAGTAATGGTGAACCATTAGGTTCTGAACCACCTGTCAGATGTTTTTTCTTCCCTCCTAACCCCTATCCTTTCAGTCACATCAGCTTTAGGTTACATTGATTGCATTCACCAAATGCCACATCTGTGTGAACTACACCCTGGAGAGGAGAGCTGTACTCCAGAGAATTCCTCATGATCTTAAGTGCGTGGCTCATTAGGCCTGTAGGGGGGCTGGTATTTTATATTATACACCCTAAGAATAAACATCTGCCTCGGAACAGGTGGCTTGAAAGAAGAAAATATTATTGAAAGGGTAAAGGATCTGTTCTGACAGAAAGATGTTCATCATGCTCAGCTTTGTCAGCTTCAAATTTGCTTTTTCAGATGTTTTGCATAGCTGTGCTCACCTGTCCAAACACCTCCTCATTCACCGTGAAGGTTAGATCCAGGATATCTGTGATGTTGTTATCCTTCATCCACTGCAAGCTCTGATGGAACTCTTCATCCAGGTACTCCAAGTCACTTAAATCACACGGCCTGATCGTGAGACAAGAAAAAACATATGACCCCATGACTACTGGCAGCGTGACTTAGTACTAAGTGTGTGAACAAATTTATGCTGAAGATCCAACATAAATTTGATGTTCATTTGGTTTTGTTAACATCAAAGCCTGTTACGCAGACCCTCTTGAAGCAGTTCTGCAACTGTCTGCTTTGCACAGCTGGGCTCAAGGCCAAATCTGTTGGCTGCCTGCACTGTTTGCTGTCAGAAGACACCCCTGGGGCTTGATTTTATGTGAATCTTCAGGATGCCCTGCACTTCAGAGCACATGCTTACCTGCAGCCTCACCATGCTGTGCCTGGCTGCTTCCACATACCTATCATCCTCAAGGTGAGCACACAGGACTGACAGAACACAGATAAGGCAGACTAAATTTCTGCTAATAAGGAGTTGTTCATATTTGCTGAAAGAGCAGGTGGGTGTTATGAGCAGCCTGGTTTCAAACTCCCTAAAGGGGCAATAAAGATGTAGGGAGCACTCCAGGTTTCAGGCTTTTTTCAGACCAGCTCAAATACAAGCAATATAAGTGTTTGGACCACAGCAATGTTCATTGTTAAAAAAAAAAACACAATGAAAAAACAACATGATAAAGAACTCAAAGGACTGTTAAGACAAGTATCTTTGCTGATTTGGAATCATATTGATTGCTAAACTATTTCAGCTAAGCTTTATTCTGCTCTTCGTCATTTAATTGCAGTATTGACTTAATACTTACGGCTTTTCTTATTGCTGCAATTTATGTACCCTGTCTTATTTCAGTCTGTTAACTAAAGAGGAACTGATTGTCAATCAAAGCTAACCTTATAAACTTGGAATAGAAAATACTAGTAGCTTCTGCTTACTAATATAAAAGACAGTAGAAAGCCAAAAAGAAACATTCACTGTTTATGTCTACATTAGCAAACTAACCCAAGTTGTGTTCTAGAATGACAACCTACTCCACCAGTGAGGCATGATAAATGGCATGTTTTTTCTTAATATGACCTCCCTCCTTTTCTTGTTTCATTTCATCAAAGATGCTTCTCAGTCTTAGTTGAATTTTCATAACTTTTTATCAGTAGCAAACTCTGGAATTATAGGTCAGTACTTTCAAATGTGTTCCTAAATGTTATAGTTATTTGTATTTTGTCAACATGGCAAATTCTTGGAGAAAATAAACAAAAATTGAAGTGTGTTTATTTTCTATCACAGACCCACCAACCAAGAGCAGAAAGAACCAGAAGGCCAGGGTGCTCCAAGCAATGCCCCAAGGGTCAGTGTCTCTGTAGGACTCACTGTGGGGTCACTGTTTCTGCAGGGTTGTGTGCTCATACTTACAGCCTTAGTAGTGCTTTGTAGAATGGCCTTGTGAAGAAAGCATCGAGAAGGTACTGATGAATGAGAGCAAGGCCAAGAATACGACCGCTGAACCTGAACCTGTGACACAAAAATGCAAAGTAAACGAAATGCAATTCAAGACTTTCATCGTAGAAATTTGCACACGTAGTAACTGGGTTGTTTATATTTTGCTTCTGAAATAGTTTTTCACATTTATTAATTGATTAATTTTTTTTCCGAGCAGATACTTAATGCCTCCCCTCCTATATCTGATCAATAATGGATCTCTTCTTGAACCATCTCCTATAGTACCCATACCTGCTGCTGGCATCTTATGTACACTCCTGTGCCAAATCAATAAACACTCACCTTCTGTGGTCTTTAGTTGAATGTTCTGATACAGAGTGACTCCAACAAACACAATATTTAGCCAGTGAAATACTGTAATACTCCCCTCCAGCAGAAAACATACTATCTCAAAAGAGCTGCAAAGGCTCTTTGGAGAATCAGTATATTCAGTTTCTGACTGGCTATAACCCTGTCTGAAGTGAGGTCTTAAAGCACTTTGAAAAGGTAGCAAGTTGACTTTATAGGGGAAAACTGAAGTTCAAATATAAGTTAATTGTTGTGACAATGACAGTAAAATCAGTATTTAAAGGTTAGGCACTCTGTCTCCAGACCACTTTTTAATACTGATGCTCAGCTGTCTTCAGTATTTACATACTCCTGTGTTTGCTTCTGTTTTCTAGGAACAACAACCCCTAGTCCTGCTACAAGTACACTCAAATAGTGCCCTGCCTATTACAGCCTGTGACTTTACAGGTTACATTTACAGGTTACTTTACAGGTTACATTTTACAGCTGTTACATTTTTCTTCCTATGATTTCTTGTAGGATTTATTAGATATTTTCCCATCAAATCTGGTTTTAAATCAATAACCTCAGACAAAAAGTACAGAACTGGTGTGAGTCCAAGTGAGTTTGACTTTTGCAAAAACAACCCCCACCACTCATTCAAAACTTCCTTATTTGTAAAAAAGGAAAAAAAACCCCAGCATCCCAAATGTGAGTATTCCAAGCCTGAGCTGACTCACATCATAGTAAAGTTTTATTGCACAAAAGATGAGAAACAGATCAAAAAGCCAAGAAACCATTCCTTCCACTACACTAAGCACTGCAAAGACCTCTACTGCATATGAATGAAACATGAGTCTCATTGTAATAAAAGTGGCACAGAATATCTGTTCAGTCAACTTTATGCTCATGGGACAGAACAACAAGTGCTTAGTATGTCAAATGGGGCACAAAATAGCATGCTGTGAGCACAATTAGCATTTACACCACCACAGGAGCTGCCTCCAGGTCCCCTGCATCCAAGAAAGGTGCTTATGATATGCAGCTGACCAGCAACAGAAGAGTGATTATGTTACCCCCACTTACAGCTGTTTCCACAGCAGCAACAAAAGGCAGCTCTTGGGTCTAGTTAGGACCTGCTTCACTTCACTTGTGCTCCCGTGCAACGTTTCCAGCAAAAAGCAAGAAAAAGAGGGGGAGCTGACACAATGAAAGCACAGTGGAAGCCAGACAGCTCAAGTCCCAGAAATGCTGAGCCTGTAATCCATCAGTTTTATAGCACCTTCAGGTTCCATAATCAAGTCTGTTTGTCCTAAATAATGCATGTCGACTTTTTTGGTTCACCCCCATCCACCTTTAAATGTCTTTAAAGTGAACACTGAATGAAAATACTATGAGCACTGGGGGTGTTCCTCACTCCACAGCTGCTCAACTGTTCAGGATGGGCCATTTGGAATAAAGTAAAGCTGAAAGTAAACTGCCAAGAAAGATTTGGGAATGCTGCTTCTTCTAAGAAAGAGCTCGAATGGGTGAACATGGTTGGGTTTTCTCCTTGTTGCCCGTATCCCTTCTGTTGCCTGTATCCCTTCTGCATGGCTTTGAGGGCATTCATACAAAGCTGACAGGAAAGGATAGAGTGCCTAGATTAAGGTGTTTACAACCATGAACACGTTACGGTAGCCGTTAACGGCAAATTTAATTTGAATCAGTGCTCTGTGGCAGAACTGCATCCAACCATTCGAAAGCCATGGCCATTGTTTCCGTGCGAAAGGACCAAGCCTGATGGGTCAGCCTAAGCAAACATGAGCAGAACAACTCTGCATTGTGTGGCCAGACTGATGAAGAACTGGCCTGGCACTTGCAGTCCTCAGGGACACACCAGAGCTTGCTCAAACTGAGGGCCTGACTATTGCAGTACCACATTGCATTACCCTTGCAATGGTGCTCTGTAGGAAAACAAGTCCAGTACTAACTGATCTGGATAAGGGAGATGAAATAATTAACAAGACATTACTACTCCTAGTGCCTATCAATACAATGGATAAAAAAAGCTATGTTGCAGATTGCATTTCTTGGCAGCTCCGTATCACCTGAGCAGACACAGCACTTCATGGCCAAAGTGTGTGAGCTCTCCAGCCCACAGACCCTTCCTCCCCTGTACAAAGCTTTGGCATCTCTGCAGAGACCTGCTATACTTGGCTCTGCAGAGTGGTGTAAGAGAAGGCCCTCTGGTCCCTTGTCCATTCTGGATAGGGCCTGGTACCAGAGGCAACACCTCTGTGGCCCATCAGTGCACTGAGAAACATGGACCATTGTAAGACAATGGATACCTATCAAAAAAGAGGCATTTGCTGCCATTCTCAGAGAACAACTACACAGTCTATCTGCTTGTGTATCCACACAGTCCATTAAGCTGCCACTACAATCAAGCAAGCATAACAATCCCATGCAAAATATAAAAAATTACAAAAATCCCCAAGAAGAAACAAATTGCTCTCCTTACAAAAGCCAGTTAAAACCAGACTTTTGTGTTTATTTCTTCCTGAAGCATTTAGAGCACAGGTGAGATTTAGAGGTGGATGAGACAGTCCCTTCGGAACAAAGTAAGTTTTCTTGACAGAATACACAGGACAAAGGTCAATCCTGGCTGGAGGGCACATACCTTCCTTAAACCTGACTTACATTTATCTTCTCAAGGAAGTGCAAAATGCTTGTTTGATTTCTTTCTAGCAGAAAAGCTAGTTTGGGAGAGATGGGGAATGCAAGGTCTTGCTCTGGCCTTTTCTTTCAACATATTTCCCTTTTGGAGACAGTGATTGAGTCTGAGTAATGTGCTCAGGCAGAGAGGGGAAATGCAGGAGCGAGTTAATGAACAGGAAATGGTGGAACGAGAGACAGAATTAATGAGCAGTAGAGCTGCTCTGGTTTGACTGCCTATTGACACTGTTCATCCACTCAAAAAGGACATTGTATGCACCTGCTTTCTGGCTTTTAACAACGTTACTCTTTAACACATTTGCAGAAGTTTCCACACTACCCAGTAACTCCTTTTCCTTCTGGAGGCTTCAGGTGCCCCTGAAACAGTCTGTTCTCACAACAGCCTGTTGCAAAATAACAGGCTCATTCCCCTCAGTGGGACCCTCTGCATACTTACTGCATATCTGTGTACTCAGGGAGACACAAATCTGTATGCTGTAGCAGCTGCTCCAATGGCAGCTGAGTCACACAAAATTCAATTTACTCTGGTCCTTATCATACAGGAGCAGACCAAGGCAGGACCCAAATGACCCTTTGTTACAGGGCTCTCTCTTGACTGGTTGAATGAATGCAGCTCTACTTTATATGACAGTTTTTCCTTGGATTCAGATGGAGAATGATATGCCTCAATAAAATTGTAATCTGTGTGTACAGAGGAAGAATGGTTTTTATTATTCTGTTGGGGACGCTTTGGGAATCATGCCTTGTGCGCTAAATTGGCTATGGTATGAAAAACTAAATAGAATACACAGAAATAGATAGGACAATAAATAAATAATAATAAAAAACCAGAATAGAAACTAAATAGAATAACACGGTATGAAAAACTAAATAAATCCTAAATAGAGGAAGCACCTGATGGGATTAAAAAGTTGGAAAAACTTGCAAACCTTATGTCACTCAAACCTATCAGTTGGGTTTAAGTGTGCCCTTCTTGAAGCAGTAGCTTGTGAAAAAAAGTATGCAAAGAAGGGCTCAAGAGAGATAAATATAACATGGTTCACATCAAATTTGAAAATGTCACTCCTTTCACAAGACTACTGAAAACTTGTTTTCATCTGTCAGGCAAAATGACACATTCTGTTGCACCAGTTTCCAATTTTTTGACTGTTTAATCGTGCAGATGAACTTTTGGCCACCTGAAAGACAAGCTGAACAAATGAGGCTGCACTGCAGTACAGGGTTTCTGTCCTTGGCAGCTCTTCTGAGAGTAAATGATATTTGTGGTGGATGCAGCTGGAGAGCCTTTCACAGTAGAAAAGATTGGACCTAATCTCAATCATTATTGGATATCAGAGAATCTAACAAGAGGAAAATATTTAGAAAGGCCTAGTCATGGGAAAGACTTTACTCTGAATATGCATCTTATTAGACAGCAGAGAATTCAGTCATGAAGCACAAATTTGTAGGAAACCAGGCAACACGGATTCAAGAGGTTGTGCTACAGCTTGTCTCAAAGGACAGTTAAAACTGCCATTGTTATGAAGACACTCATGAGCAACCTGAAGGCCAGAAACTGCTGATTAAAGCAACTAAAAATCCATTGTTATTGCCTAAAATTTTGTTATTGAAATCTTGTGATATGGAGGTGGGACATGACATACAGAGGAAAATGTACTGATTCTACGATTTCTGAATTTTGGTGCTTTCTCTAGCACTAGCACTTTATAAACAAAGAACTTTTTCTTTTAATGCAAGGAAGTTCTAAAAATGTGTATTTTGTAAAAAGCTGACCAGATGGTTACATCACCTCTGGCTGGACTCATATACTATGAATTTTAAGCACAACTCACAGTGTGTCAGGCACATGCACCAGAGGTCTGTGTCTATATGTTTATAGTACCTATACTTATATTTGCTCAGTGCAGGACATGACCAACAAGTTCTGTATGAGCTACATCTAGAGAGAAACAATCTAGCAGGAGATCAGATCATCTTTACAAAACCTTGGCAGCGGATCAAATCCACACCTCTATCAGCCTTCATTA